GGCGAGTAAGGGTGGGCCGATTTCTGGTTTGCCAGGGGTGTCAGTGTTGCATGTATTGCTTTTTTTATTGCTTGTTTGTATGCATTTATCTCGTACGGATTTCTGTCTAAAGTTTTTCCTTATGGCAAGTTACGGTGGGATTTGGGGTTTGTTTTACCATCCCCATTTCCCTGTAAATTGCTGTTTGCTTTGTTGACTGTTACCTTGATTTGTTTTGCATTTTTTTGTACAGTTCCAGGGAAAAAAAAATGTAACGAGGAGATTAGAATCTCCTCAGTTCAGGTAACTGTGCACAAGTACATAAAGGGTGACTTGGTGATGAGATACTGGCGTCTGTGCAGTTATTTCATCAAGAATGAGATTAATGACGTAACCACACAGAAGCTAGCTGAAGCCCTACTGGACTTCAAACAGGCACTATAACTAGCTTTGCCATTAGAAAATGTGGCAAGTGGAGCATGGGAGCTACAGGGCATCCCAACATAAGTGGACACGCTCATCTGTCTGACTGAGTTTAGGGAACACCATTTGAGTGTAGGCAATCAAGAACCTCACGCAGGGCATATCCTGAGTAGAGGGACCCTAGGCCAGCCCACAGCAGAACACCACAATAAAGCCAAGCCTCAGCCAAGTGGCTAAAATGTTCTTCAGGATCTGGGTCGGCAAACCATTGTAGTTGCCATTGGTACTCCGACTTGAGACAGCTAAGGAGTCCTACAAAGCCTGTCTTGAGTAAGAAGACTCACAGGCCAGTACCCAGGAGAGTGCACAGCCTGGAAAGACCCCTACAGGTGGGTTGGAACAATTAAATTGTTTCACAACATTCAAATCAGAACTGATTAAAATTAATGTTTGGTTAAATGGTCACCCAGTTCCCATAGAGCTCAGTGCTGGCACAGCTGTGTTTGTGTTGCAGAATCTGTCTTTAACAAGATTTGCTTGGGACTCTAACCCTTAAATTTGCACAAGACCTCAGCCAAACTAAGAACATACCCTAGGAGCTGTTGCAGACAATGGGTGTGACTTCAGTTCCGGTCTCGTATGAGAAGCAGTTGGTGCAGTTACCACTGATGGTAGTAAAAGGCTCAGGCCCAAGCCTACTGGGGCAGAATTGGTTGAGAAAGATTTACCTGAAAGCTGTTACCTTACAAATGGGGCAGAAGCGAAACATGACTGGCCCCTCAGAACAGCCAGAAGGCCTCTCGGAAACTGTAGGTTGTCCCCCTCCATCTAGTGTTGAGCAAACCTCCCAGTCCGAGCTGGATGCAGCCTCGATACCATTACTGCAGAAGAGGAGAAAACTCTCCCGAGATGTTCTGCATACAAGAGACGGGCTACGGTCTGGTACATGTCACTTATGTCAGAGTCTGATTCTGAGAAACTGGACTTGGGGGCAAAGACATCAAAAACATTATGCTATAAGCCGAAGACCAGGCCTACATCCCCAGATTTAGGAGGATAGAGGTGTAGTGATTGGAACCAGGTTGACATCGTTGACTGAGGCCGTTGACCAGGTTAACAAACCCTAATCAATCAGGAAAGCCCTGGCTGACCAATATAAACAGGAGGTTTAGAATCTCGTCAGTTCAGGTGACTGACTCTGAGCTGGCTGGTCGTAGCCAGTTTATTGTGCACAATTAAATAAAGGGTGAAGGGAGACAACCTCTGTGCAGCTATTTCATTAGATCAGTACCTTTGTCAAGAAATTAGGCAAGGAAATTTAATCTGAACTCATTAAGCTGAACTCATGTTAACATTCGAAAAGCCTAACTTCCACAAAGAACTGAATTTCCATGTGTGTACACATTATTTCCCACTCCAAATATTTTCCTTTAATTCTGTCCACTTGTATGAATAACAGGAGATGCTAAATGGATGTCGGATCACAGATCATAGTCATTAATAAATGGAGCAAAACTTGTTTCCTGGTAGGCCTTGTCATTATTATCGCTTTTTTTGTATTTTTTTTAATTCACTTATGGGATGTGCCGTGTCTGGCTGGCCAGCATTTATTGCCCATCCCAAGTTGCCCTTGAGAAGGTGGTGGTGAGCTGCCTTCTTGAACTGCTGCAATCCATGTGCTGTAGGTTGACACATAATGCCAAATCAAACATAACATGTTTCTGATGCATTAATATAATAAAATTATGGTTGCACAATCAGTTACTTGTCCCTTGTTTAATCTGCATGAAGATTTTCAGCTGTTCCTTAGCCTCATGGTTACTGCTCTCCAGTTTTACTATTCTTTTGGATTTCGTCCCTGTAACTGCATGCTATTGAGTCAGGACTGAGAAATAGCTATAATGCAACTGGAAAAAAGGCATAAGATAGAAAAACTAAACTAATTTCATCCCCGTTAAACTTTTCTTCTGAAGATGCAGTTTGGCATAATTTCCTTTCTCTAGGGCTATACCAGATGGTGTTTTTCTTATAGCTGCGCTAAGAAAATGTCAGATAGACGGCAGTAAGTAGCTTCACAATGGGGTATGTGCAAATGAGGCAAATAAACATAAGGGAAGAAGATTCATAGACCTCCTACTGAGGCAAGGGGCCCAATTTTAACTCTGAAAGTGAATGAGCCGTAAGTAACTTGTCACTACTTTTGTCAGCCGACTTTACGACCAACATCAGCCTGAATTTTTAAGCAAGAAATAAAGAGTCCCTCAGGCATCCTATCACTAATGTGAACAGCTTCCCATAGATATCCTTCATAATGCCAGGTTGATGGGGGGTTGTTGAGTCCTCACCTAATGGATTTTTCACTGGGTTTTTCGCCTGTTATTGAATGTGACAATGTAACATTATTATTTCAAAAAAAAAAGTTTAAAGCACAATTGTGACATAAAGTTTACAACAGCAAGTATAGTAAAAGGCAGAAAAACTAAGCACTTTGGATATTTGCTGAAAGAACTATGAAGCAATATTGAGTTCCAACTGATTTATTTGTAATTTGTAGGATCTTTGTTACTTAAATTCCTCTGTGTTACAATCTTTTATGTAAATTCGTTTCTATCAAATATGCTTGCTTAGCCGGAAATACGAGACGGCATGGACAGATAAACAAATATGGGCATTCATGCCACATCATCACTTAGATTAAATGTACATTGTAGCCCTAAATATTTTTTTAATTCACTCACCAGTCATGGGCATAGTTGGCTCGACCTTGCTGGGTGAGGGAGCAAGAGGATTTAAGACCAAATTTTAGAGACTAGAAATGGGGTTGGTCCAGAGACATGAATGCTTGCTAGGCTAAAAGCTATCACAAAGCTCATATACTTAGCCAGTTCTATATGATCTGATTTTCAACACCAAGGAAGGCTGGCTGTGATACCCAATGTGAATAAAGAGTAAAGACTATGTGAATCTCTGACAGTCTCTAAATTTATTAAAACCCCTTAGAGACAATACCTTTTGCAATCTAGTTGATAATCACCTTAGTTTTTTGTCCATTTTTGCTGCTCCCTGCATTGAAGACAAATGAATGAGGTAAGTACAGGACACTTCTTGCACACTGGTACAAGAATGACCACTCCAGAATTCTACAACCACCATTGGTGCCTGATTTAAATGGTACTCCTGTCTATTTGTAGGCCACTTGAGAACTCAGGAAAGACACATCAATAGTTCACCTGAGTGAGACAGAGTGAGTAAATCTGGGAATCTGTTTCAAAGTGGGAATTTGATCCAGAGAGGGAAGGAGGTACTTTAAGGAAGGCTTACTGCAAGTAGTAAAGTATGTCGAGTGGGCACTTTGGTGAAGGGCTGGAAGGAGGTGCTTTTCCCTTTTACTCTTTCCCAATAAGTTCAATCGTAGATAAACTGCTTTTAGGGATTGGCTTTAAATTGTTGTAAGTTAGAAAAGTGCATTATTTTTAAAGAAGTAGCGATACCTGAAGTTAACTGAGAAATGCCAGGAATATGGTAAAATCAGAGCCAAGGCAAATGGGAATTTGTTCACATTTAGTGAGGTACAATCAGCTTGAGGTAGAGGGTTCTGGAATTAAATTGTTTGTTTTACTTGGTTTTGGGAAAACACCCATCGATTAAAGCAAGCCCAGGTATCGGAAGGATATTATTAAGCTGGAGATGGTTCAGAAGGGATTTACCAGGATGTTGCTGGGTATGGAAGGTTTACGTTATAAGGAAAGGCTGGGACTTTTTTCACATAGGAGGTGGAGAGGTGACCTTGTAGAAGTTTATAAAATAATGAGGCATAGATAGTTATTGGTAGTTGTCTTTTCCTTAGGATGGGGCTAGAGGACACATTTTTAAGGTGAGCGGAGAGAGATTTAAAGAAGACATGAGGGGCAATTTTTTACAGAAGCTGGTTCTTGTGTGGAATGAACTTCATGAGGAAGTGGTAGATGCGGGTACAATTACAATGTTTAAAAGATATTTGGTTAAGTACATGAATAGGAAATGTTTGGTGGGGTCTGGGCCAGGAAAGGCTGGTGGGACTAATTTAATTTGGGATTATGGTTGGCAGGGACTGATTGGTCCAAAGGGACTGTTTCTGTACTGCATGACTCTATGATTCTATGACTAAGATATCATTAAAGCTAGATGTGCAGAACAGTTGTTCTTAAAGAGGGAGATAATTTAGAACTATTAAGACAAGGATTACCTTAATGTAAGATGTTTTATTTTAAAGTTCCAAATCAGAAATGTTTGGTTAAAACCCCAAAGAGGTTATTTGAAGCTGAGAAGGTCTAAGCTCTGTTGTATGAAGATTCAAGGAAGAGTATCAGATCATCAAAAGGAATTGAAGCGACAGTTAAATTAAGCCTTATGAATGTGATAAGAAAACTAATTATCTCTGTGGTACTGTAAAGAAGAATTATTGAGACTAATGGCATTGTATTTGACCATGTATTTCAAAATTATTAAATGTGTTATACATAAACAGTTCAATATATTTTGACTTACATACTTTCTCTGTCATAAAAGTCTGTTTTATTGTTTAAAACCAAATCTGCAACATTGTGTGTTTATGTTTCAGTGAGAGACCACCTTTTGAAAACCCCCATTTATCAAGCCACATTTCAGTCTGGAAATCTAATTTGTTCAGTAATAAAATTAACTGGGATCATAACAATTGGTAAGATTTGAATTTACTGGATTTAAAATGGATCTATTTTATCCTTTTAAAAATAAATGAGTATTTTGTGGTTCTGGACATAAAATAAATTGTGGTGAAGTTTATTAATTAGAACTTGAAGATAGCTTTGAATGTTGCTAAGAGTTTTCTGGAAGTGGAAGGTATAACATTGGATTGTTTGAAGTCTTTAAATGTAAACCGAGCGAGTTAGCAGACAAACTGAAGGTGGAGTAAAAGCAGGAACTGCTAAGGATGATATGCATCAAGTGATTATCAAACATGTAGAATTGGAAGAAAGGTAACCTGAAATTAGAACGTCACAGCTGTAATTAGTACTGTTACCTGTGTATGCGAAAAGAAGGTTCATTTAACCTTATCAAATTTAAAAAGAAGCTCAATTATGTGAATTGTCATGATTAGTCAGGTGAAATAATCAGCAAGTGCATCACATTAAATGTTGAAAAGATATTAAAACAGGGATGACTATTGTAGGAAAGTATACTTATGGCAGTGAAAATAAAGGGAGTTAAATAGAAATGAGACCAATTGGAGAATGAATCAGAAACTGAACATTCACAAGTTGAATATCTTGCAAGGGAAGTTCCCAAAGGAAACAGATGTAGCTTGAAGAAACATCTTTGGACTTGGTTTGTAGAAGACTTGGCTGAAGTCAGATATGTAAAACAGTTGCTCCGAACAAAGATTGTTTAGAACTGTTATGAATTAGATTACCTAAGTATAAGGAGTTTAGTTTTCACATCCCAAACCAGAATTGTTTGGCTCTGGACAGGTACCTTGAATAGGAAGGGTTTAGAGGGATATGGGCCAAATGCTGGCAAATAGCACTAGATTACCTCAGGATATCTGGTTGGCATGGACAGTCGGGCCGAACAGTCTGTTTCCATGTTGTACATCTCTATGACTCTAAAATCCCGAAGAGGTTATTTGCAACTGAGAATGTCTAAGCTCAGTCGTATAAAGATTTAGGAAAGAGGCTGTCAGATTAAGTAGAAAATAACAAAGAAGAAATATTGTGCTTATGATAGGTGTCAAGTAGAAAATACAATTGACCATCAAAAGGAATACAAAGGTTCAAACAGGAGGTGGAAAAGCAAATATTAGAAGCAAAGAGGAATTTGGGGAAAAGACTGGTAGCCACATCAAGGGGAATCCCAATGTTTTCTATAGGCATATAAGAATGGTAAAAGGAGGGGTAAGGCTGATTAGAGACAACAAAGGGGATTTATACTGAAGGGAGAGAGCATAGCTGTGGTGTTAAATGAATACTTTATATCTGTCTCTACCAAGGATGTTGATGCTGCCCAGCACTCTGTCACTAGAATGATTCAAAACTGGTAAAGAAGAAGTGTTGAACAGACTGTGGTTTAAAGCTGACAAGATCTCGTGTCCAGATGAGATGCATCCAAGGAAACTGAAGGAAATGAGTGTGAAAGTTACAGGGGTACTGCCATTATATTTCAGTTTTCCCTAGGGGGGAAAGTGCCAGAAGATTGAAGAATTTTAAATATCATGCCCTTGATCAAGATGGTGTGCAGATAAACCCAGCAATTACAAACCATGCTATTAAATTATGTACATAAATTACCGGAAGGCATTTGAAACAAGGTCAAAACAACAGACTTGTTATAGGTCATGATGTGGAGGCGCCGGTGTTGGACGGGGGTGGATAAGTCAGAAGTCACAGGACACCAGGTTATAGTCCAACAGGTTTATGTGAAATCACAAGTTTTCGCAGTGCTGCTCCTTTGTCAAGTGAATTGACTTCACCTGATGAAGGAACAGCGTTCCAGAAGCTTGTGACTTCAACTACGCCTGTTGGACTATAACGTGGTGTCCTGTGAAGTCTGACTTTGTTATAGGTCATGGAACTATATAAACAATAGCAAGATGGATACAAAATTGGCTGAGTGATAGGAAACAGATGGATATTTTTGCAATGAGTATTTAGCGATTAATAAGTGTTTTTCAGGCTGGAGAAAGGTTTGTAATAGAGTTCTTCATAGGTCAGTATCGGGACCATTGCTTTTTCTGATCATATATTAAAGATCTAAATCATCGTCTGTAAGGGTCAATTTCAAAGTTTGTAGATGATACAAAATTTGGAAGCATTGTGAACTATGAGGACATGCAGAACTTCAAAAGGACAAGTTGATGGAATGGCTGGATAGGTGGCAGATGAACTTAAATGCAAAGAAGTGTGAGGTGATGCATTTTGGTGGGAAGAACATGGACAGACATGATAACATTAGGACTACAATTCTAAAGGGGACACAAAAGCACAGGGAACTTGGGTTTACATGTGTACAGAGCATTGAATGTAACAGGATAGGTAGAGAGATCAGCTGATACAACATACTGTATCCTCAAGTTTATTAATAGAATCATAGAGTACAAGAACAAGGAGGTGATGTTGAATTTATATATGGCCTCAGCTGGAAAATTTTGTACAGTTCTGGGTGCAATAATACGAACATATTGGAAAGAGGGCAGAAGAGATCTGCAAGAAGGTTCCAGGGATGAGAGAGTTTACTTATGAGGATGCATTGAAGAAGCTGGGACTGTTCTTCTTGGAGAGAAGAAAACTGAGTGAATATTTGATAGAAATTTGCTTAAAAATTACAAGTCGGCTAGACAATGTAGATGGGGAGAAACTGTTCCAGCTTTAAAAAAGATCAAGAGTGACAGAGGTAGATTTAAGACGATTTACAATAGGAGCAAATGCAAGGCTGAAAAAATATTTTTTGACGCAATGTGTTGTGGGTTTGGAATGCACAACACAGAAGTGTGGATGAGGCAGGTTCAATTGAGGATCTCAAGCGAGCATTAGATGATTATTTAAATAAAAAAAAATGCAAGGGTGTAGGGAAAGGGCAGAGGAATGGCACCATAACACCATAAAACATAGAAGGAGGAGTAACATGTTCAGCTCAATGAGTCAGTTCTGCCATTTAATAAAATCATGGGTGATCTGATCATTCTGAATACGGCTTTCCTGCTTTCTCCCCCATAGTCCTTGATTCTCTTAATAATTAGAAATCTTTCTCTGCCTTGAATATTCTTAATGACCTAGACTCGACAGCTTTCTATAGTAAAGAATTCCACAAAGACATTATCCTCTAAGAGAAGAAATTCCTCCTCATCTCTATCTTCAAAGCTTAACCACTTATTCTGAGATTGTGCCCTGTGGTGCTAGTCTCTTCCATGAATGGAAATAACTTCCTTGCATCCCTGTCAAGTCTCCATAAGAATCTTACATGTTTCAATTAGGTCTTCTCCCATTCATTTACTTTCCAATAGGGTGAACCTGCTCAACCTCTCATTAGAAAATCCCTCCATACCCAGGATCAATCTGGTGAACATTTTCTGAACTGCTTCCAATGTTGGTTTTTTTTCCCCTGGGTAAGGGGACCAAAACTGTTCACAGTATTCTAGGTGCGGTCTGACTAGTGCCTTGTAAAGTTTTAGCAAGACTTCCCTATATTTATACTCCATTTACTTTGAAATAAAGGCCAACACTCAATTTGTATTCCCTAGTATTCACTATTCTAGCTTTTTGCGATTCATGGATGAGGGTCCCAAATCCCCCTGAGTTGCAGCTTTCTGCAGTGTTTCTCTTTAAATAATATTCAGCTCCCTATTCTTGCCAAAGTGCGTAGCCTCACATTATCCAACAAGATATTCCATCTGTCAAATCTTTTCCCACTCAGTCAATATCCCTCTGTTGACTCTTTGTGTTATCCTTGTTACTTGTCTTCCCACGTGTTTTTGTCATCAGCAAACTTAACGATAGCACATTCATTCCCTCACCCAAATCATAAATGTATGTTGAAAATAATCGTGACCCTAGCAGTGCTCTCTCCAATAGTGACCGGTGCCATCCTAAAAATATTCCCCTCATCCCAACTTTCTGTCCTCTATTAGTGAACCAATCCTTTGTTCATACTGATCTACTACCCCAAAACCATGGGCTCCTACCTTTTAAGTATCCCGATTTGCAATACTTTGGCAAAAGTCCTTCCGAAGTCTAAATGTATTACGTCTACGGGATCCCCTTTATCCTGCTTGTAATTACCTTAAAATATTTCTAAGCTTGTCAGGTGTGATTTGCCCTTTATGAAAGCATATTAACTCTACTTGACTTATGTATTTCTAAATGCTTGACAATTATATCCTTTATAATGGACTCTACCATTTTATCATTAAACAGATGTTAAGTGGAGAACCAGTGTAGATATGATGGATTAAATAGCCTCCTTTGCATTATAAAACTCCTGTGATACAATGAACTTGGGTAGGCCTTGTGATCAGTAGGCATTATCTGTTTATACAACATTTTCATTTGCCTATGATCTTTGTTCGTATTAACCTCAAGCAATTATACAATTATACAAATTGCTCAAGTATCAGAGAAACTCTCAGGACAGTAGGCAGCTATTTGGCTCATCCAGCCTGTTCCAGCTCTTTGAAAGAACTATCCGATTAGTCCTTCTCCCTAGTTCTTTAAACTGAAGATCGCAGAAAATCTTAGTGTTTCTGGCATTTGTCTGCCGAAGCTAATCTCACAGAAATGACATGTGATAATTATCCCAAGTAGTGTTGCACTTTAAACAATTAGAATTCTCTCCCTATGATATGAGGAAAATGGGACATTCATGACAGACTAAAGTGTAAGCAATTTACAAAAAAAATCCAAACGTAGGGAAATTTGAAGGTGTGAGTCATTCAAAAAAACATGTTGGCTGATCCATTGTGAATTTGGACAAGGACCGTCATGATTAAGTGCCATTTTTAAATGACACACGATTAGAAGTTGAGGAATAAGTATACCATGACACATTGATGTATTTCAGCCTCAATGTAGAATCATGCTTCTTTCCACCTTTTTATCTCTAGTATTTATTCCTCTGTGCACATTTATAATCAAAAAATACCTGTACAATCCTGTCTGTTTTCACATTCCCACCATAACTAGATGTAGCATTATATTGAAAAATAATTGGTGCAGACAGGAATTTTAATTTGTTACAGATATGCATGAAACAACAATTCATTTAATTAAATGGAGAAAAAGTAGAAATAGTTTAAGAATTCATTATCTTTTGGGGATTTAACATGGGGAGTATCTTTAAAAAAACTGATGGTTAGGAAAACTCAAATCAATTTAAGAATATCAGATTCTTGTTTCCTGAATTCTGTTTAGGACAATAATTTGTGTAAAATGGATAAGTTCTGCTTAAAGGTGAATTATTTGGGCTAAGACCTCACCACTTCAATTAATTTTATAAGCTATATTTATAACCTCACAGTATTCCTTACCAAGAGGTAAAATATTACAAAGGAAGGCTTTAAAATTTGAGAGCAGTGTAGTATTTTTTATTTTTCATCACCTCAGTTGAGGTGCTGGGATACAATGTGATTTCAGGCTTGTTAATTATGAATTTGACATGCTTAGTTGTGAGTGCAGTCTTGTGCTATTTCAACCTGTCATTCATTTAGCGATGAAGAGATAGGTGATCCATATCTTTTGGAACATCCGTGTGGTGTATTGAGTGGAATAATCACTGTCAAGTAGGCAAGGAGAGAGATAACGATTGTGTCGATGCAGTCCAGTATTTAAGAAAAGGATTCATCTATTCCATAAATTCATCAGAATACATCTTAATACAGAAGATGAGAGTCTGGTTTATTTCTTATGGATACCTGTGAGGAAATTGGATTTTGAGGTCCCAGCAATATAAGAATTTATTGCTTTTTAACTCTTGGTCTACTGGATCAGAAAGGAGTTCTGCAACTTTTCAAAGGACTATAATCATTTCTTTAAAATGTTGCAACTTCATGAAAATTTAATAAACATTCAAGAGGGGTGTCATATTATCATGCAATACTATTGTGATTTTAAAACATCTCTCATGTCAAAATATCTCAAAACATTTTTTGGAGTAAACTAGAATTCCTAATGGATGATAACCTACATCCTGAAGTAGTTAACTGTTCTCTAATAGAGGTTGCTGACTTGCTCGCTGAGCTGTGTTCAGACGTTTCGTCACCATGTTGGGTGACATCATCAGTGAGGCCTCCGATGAAGCTTATCGATAAGCTTCATCGGAGGCCTCACTGATGTTACCTAGCACAGTGATGAAACGTCTCAATGGAACCAAGCCAGCTCAGCGCACAAGTCAACAACCTCAACCACAACCCGAGCTACAATTTTTTGCTGAAACTTTAAAGTTCTCTAATAGAAATGTGGAAACATAGGAATGTAGGAGCAGGAGTAGGCCTTTGAACTTCTTGAGCTTGCTTCACCATTCTAAGTTTTGGCTGAATGTCTACTTCAATCCCTTGATGGCCTTAGTATTGTACTCCTTGACTGAGCGTCCACGGGCCTCTGGCTGGGAGTTCCTAATATTTTCCATCCTCCGAGTTAAGGGCTTCCTCATCTCTGCCCCAAATAGCTCGCCATTTAGCACACTGGTGATTCCATTTTGTACTTCTTTTGACTCATGGCATGTGGGCATTACTGAATAGGCCAGCATTTATTGCCCATCCCTGGTTGACCTGAGAAGGTGGTCATAAGCTGCCTTTTTGAACCCCTGCAGCCCATTTTATGTCACTAGACTCAACACCATGAGGAAGGGAGTTTCAGGCTTTTTAGCCAGGGACACAGAAGAAATGGCAAAATATTTCCAATTCAGAATGATGAGTGGCTTGGAGGGAAATTTGAAAGTGGTAGTGTTCCCACGTTTCTTTGGTGAATTTCTGCAATGCATCTTGTAGGTGTTACATACTGTTGCAATGGAATGGCGATGGCGGACCGAGTGAATGTTTGTGAATATGGTGCTAATCAAGTAGGATACTTTGTCTTGAATGGTGCCAAACTTTGAGAGCTGGAGTCGCACTCATCCAGGCAAGTAGTTGAGTATTCCATCACACTCCTGACTTGTGCCTTATAGATGGTGGACAGGCTTTGGGGAGTCAGGAGGTGAGTTATTGCTGTAGGATTCCTAAGTCTCTGACCTGCTCTTATAGCCACAGTATTTGTACTTCTCGGCCAGTTTATTTTTTTGGTGAATGGTAAATCTGCAGAATGCTGATAGTGGGGGATTCAGAGATGACATTCATTGAATATCAAGGGGCAATAGTTAAATACTCTCTTGTTGGACATGGCTTTTGTGTGGCATGAATATTATTTGCCCCTTATCAGCTCAAACATGGATATTGTCTTCTTCAGGACCTTAGGAGTTGCGAATGGTGTTGAACATTATGCAATCATCAGCGAACATCCCCACTCCTGCCCTTTTTTGATAGAGGGATGAAGCAGCTGCAGATAGTTAGACATAGGCATGGCCCTAAGGAACTCTTATAGAGATGTTCAGGAGTACTGGCTATTTTAAAATGGGCAACAATGATTCAACAGCAACATTAAAAAAGGCAGAAAAAAACCTTGTATTTATATTGCATTTATCTTTCTCAGAAATGTCTGAAAGACTTTTACACTCCATTCGTTATTCTGATCTGGAATTGCTGTCAATGCCATCACCGACTATCCTTCAATGTGAGGGTGATATCTACTCCAGGTCATGGCTTTCTCCATGGGCCTTCATGTGATTGACCAGGCTGATCCCCAACCCACAGATCTTTTGGCAGGTCAGTGGCATCAAGAGTTTAGGATTTGCTTCTTGTTATGCTCATACTCTACCTAATCATTAAGGCTTTGGACTCCTAGCATGATGCAACTTGATAGAGAAGTAATCACCATTTTGAATGATTGGCATTAATTTCAATGCTCCCATACTCTAAGGACCGCTTAAGGATGTTTACTGATATTTTCTTTGGCCTGCCATGAACTTCTGTTCATTGAGAAAACAGGATCTGGCAAGTGAGATACTTTTTTGTTATCTGAATAAAACATTCAGTCTGCATGGTTGCTTTTGCAGGTAGTTTACCTGACTGTTTATGGATCTGACTTCAAAAAGGACAGTAGCATTTATTTGACAGTTCTTTCATTGATACAGGAGGATGTAGTGTAGGCACTGTTATTTGAATGTGTCTCTCATTTTTGTTTTATTTATACATGGCATAGGTCTCCTGCTGGACAGAAGTGAGGTGATGGAATAAGCTTAAAATATATGTTTTTGTTTTCCAAAATAGATTTCTGAAAACATCCCATTCAGAGTTTGATTCTTTGAGCATTTCCAGTATTTCCTATTTCAGATTCCAGTAAATGCAGGTTTTTTCTTCCCTTTTACAAAAGGTGATCATTTTTAGAAAGCTGGTTCATTGAGACCCTTTTTCTGTGATGTCAAATGCTGCAGGACATAGAGGTTCACAGGTCTGAATGCACATTATTCATCCAGATTCCAGATTTTCCTTTTAACTACCTTTGGCATAAAATCAATCACTGCTTTAATTAAAGTAATACATTGTACATTCATAATAATTTAAAAATATTTCTTCTGGCATAAAATGTATAAACTAATTTGCTGAACCTAACGTTAGAACTGCCTGAGTTTTATTTTTTCCATAGCCAGTAGATGAATGATGTGTGTGTGGTGATATGGACTGCAAAGGGAACAGTTTGAGCATGTGTGTGTATATATCACTGATATATCTGTTATTATTTATGCTGCCTTATATTTAGATCCTGGCCCATGTTTTCTTGTTGTGATGTAGGTGTATATGACAGCCATTCTGCTGCAGATTCTCCAGCATGTGAAAGGAGTTTTCAAAGTGTTTTAACAGCCAGCCATACCCTCTGCTGAAAACAATAACAGACATTTCCTGATTCCCCTGTTCTAGATCCCAGACTCCAACTGATTGTTACTTTACCTAAATCCTTGCAGATGTCTCACTGGGCATCTTCTGTAATTCTAACCAGGCACTATGGCAGTCCTCCACACTCTATAGTTTTCAAGCAATCTGATACCTCTTAAATAAATTCAGATTACCACTTTTGGTAGAAATCCTCAATTGATCTAATGGCCTCCAGCAATAACCATCATATAACTCCTGATGGCTGTACTAAGCTAACTCTCATACAACTTCTAATCGTTGTATTTAACTTACCAGAGATTGCAACTTCCACCCAAATACTAGTGGGAAGCCTTATAGGATCATAGAATCCCTACAATGTGGAAGCAGGCCATTTGGCCCATCAAGTCCACACCAATCTTCTGAAGTGCATCCCATCCAGATCCATTCCCCAGGACTACCCCTATTGCCCTGCATTTCCCCTGGCTATCCACCTAGCCTGCAAATCCCTGGACACTGTGGGCAATTTAGCATGGCCCATCCACCTAACCTGCACATCTTTGGACTGTGGGAGGAAACCAGAGCACCCAGAGGAAACCCATGCAGAAAGGAGGAGAACATGCAAACTCCACACAGACAGTTGCCTGAGGGTGAAATCAAACCCAAGTCCCTGGCGCTGTGAGGCTGCAGTGCTAACCACTGAGATGCCCCACTTTTGTATTCTATACCTCTGCCAATGAAAGAGAGCCAAGCCAAATGCCTTCTTTACAACCTTACTTGCCTATGCTGCTACTTTTAGGGAGCTGTGCACTTGGATGCCAAGATCTCTCATTTCATCTATCCCTCTCAGTATATTCCAGTTTATTGTGCATTCTCTCTTACTGTTTGACCTCCCTAAATACATTACCTCACACCTATCAGAGTTGAACTCCATCTGCCAATTTCCTTAGGGCGCACATTCAAATGAATTGAGATCTAAAGTGTTCACTGAAATGCAGAGGTGACTTAAAATTGTAGGGTTACATTATAATAGTTAATATTTCATTAAAATAGAAAGAATAACATACACAAAGTTTGAGTGAAGTAGAGGTTGAATTACCATCTGTAAGACAAGATATTATTGTGATTGAGTAATTAATTTATTTAAATATTTTATGCTCTTCTCCCCACATTTAGAATGATGTTACAGTTGCCTTGATTTTAAAATTCTCACCCTCTCCCTTATTTCTGCAGTCTCTTCCAGCTGTGCAATTCTTGAAAGTTCAACGTTCTGCCGATTCTGGTCTCTCGCCCCTTTGCTATATTGCAGCTGTCCCCCCAACAGTCTAAGCCATAACCACTGAAATTCCTTCTCTATACCTCCATTAAACTCCATCTCCCTTCCCCAACCTTGTCTTGTTAATCAAAATCAGCCACGCATCTTAATCTCTTTCTTTGGCTTAGTATCAATTCTTGTATGATTGTGGATCAGAGAAGCAACTCAAGATGTTTTACTGTCTTAACGATGCTGTATAAAAGCAAGTTGTTCTTCTTGCCTTCATATTCAGCCAACATGCTACACATACAACAGAGTAATCAACAAGAAATGGGTTAGGTCAAATATTTGCCATCTTGCTGTGTCTGGCCAACAATAGTGCTGGACAATTAAACTACTGACTGCAAGTGGAGGCTCCAAAAACCATTCCCATGCTTTCTGATGGGGGAGCCTAGCATGTTAGTTCAGAAATTAAGGTTGAAATGTTTGCAATCATCTTCAGCCGAAAGTACGAAGTAGATGATACATCTTGGACTTGTCATGGAGTCACCACCATTATGATGTGATGCTACAAACAATATGATATCAAGACTTTGATGAAGACACTGTCTACATCAAGGACGGCGGGCACTCACAACAGCTCAGCTGCAGTAGTGAAGACTTGCGCTCCACAGCTAGCTGTACCTTAACCAAACAATACCGCTACAGAGATAGTAGGACCTGCAGATGCTGGAGACTCTGAGATAACAAGGTGTAGAGCTGGATGAACACAGCAGGCCAAGCAGCATGTCCTGCTCCTCTGATGCTGCTTGGCCTGCTGTGTTCATCCAGCTATACACCTTGTTAATACAGCTACAACATGGGAATAGGGAAACTGCCCAGGTATGTCCTCGCCACAGAAGGCAGGACAAATACAATCCACCCAAATACCCCTGATCAATCTACTCTCAATCATCAAAGTGACGGAAGATATCATCAGCATACCAACAAATGGTAGTTAAACAGCTACAATCTACACCTTAATGTTTAGTTTAAGTTCCACCAGGGCAATTCTACTGCAGACCTTATTTTAAATTTTGCTTCAAACATGAGCTGAACTCAAGAGGTGAGGTGAGATGAGAAGGAGTGCCCTTAACATCAGGCAATATTTGAATTCAAAGCCCAAATCAACATCTATATGACCACCAGAGTTTGAAGTTTCTCCAACTGTGCTGTGCAAGAACAAATAAAGAGCTTTGTAATCTTAGATAACCTTGTTCACTGTCCACTATACCACCAATTTTGGTGTCAGCCGCAAACTTACTAACCATGCTTTCTAAATACGCATCCAAATCATTTATATAAATGACAAGCAACAGTGGACCCAGCACCGATCCTTGCGCAACACCACTAGTCACAGGCTTCCAGTCCAATAAACAGGCTTCCACCAGGATTAGAATTAGCTTTATTGTCACATATACTCAATGAGTATACTGAAAAGTTTATACGTTGCCACTTACAGCGCCATCTTAGGTACAAATATACCGAGGTACAACTTCTTCATTGATAAGATCTTAGAAAATAGAGAAATAAAATGTCCAGCATTGCAGAAATAAAATTTCAGAACAACAGTCTTCCAAACCAGACCACGCTGGCACCTAGCCTCCAGTACGCACCAGGCCCTGCCTCCAGACTGCGCCTGGCTTCACCTTGAGGATGATGAGGCTGGGAGATGTCTTCAAACCACCACGCTGGTTGAGACGCCACACTGGGCCAAGGATGCCACGCTGTCCTCAAATTTAAAAAAAAACTCATTGGGTGAAAATATAAAGCTTTGAAAGCAAAGTGTACAGCTTAAAAAGGAGAATCAAAAGGATAGTATTTGTAGCAATCGGTCATCCACCTGATGGTACAAGAACAAGGGGGACACAGATTTAAAGTTTTAAAGGAAAGAGCGGTGAGAAGGTACAAAGGAGTGGTAGTGACCGGGAACACTACAAGGGTGGTGAAACTGCAGATGATCAATGGTTACAAAGGGAGGTTGGATGGGCCATGAGAGAAATAAATCTCTGGGCTGTGGGGGACAAAGTGAGGGAATGGAACTGAATGGAAAGAATTCCTCTTCAGGGAGCAGGCCGTGATGGGAGTGGAGGATTAGAGAAAACAGAAATAACAGAAAATAAAATCACCTCATCCTTGATCAGAATCAGCTTTTTCCTTTGACATATGATATATGCATATAGTCTCATCGTTATTTTAAAACAATCAACTTATGCATTTTCATCAAAATGCATACACATACATGAATAAAGAGACTTAAGAACAGCTTCTATTTTCACATTCAACTTATGACTGTTACATCGAATTTATAGTACAGAATCAGATCATTTGCTCCAATTGGTCTTTTAAGTTTGACACAAGCCTCCTCCAACTGATTTCAGCAAAACCATTCCAAAAACATCTTATCTAGTTCTCCTCTTCATGCATTTATCCAGATTTCCCTGAAATACATATTTGTCTCAACTAGACCGTGTGCTGGCAAATTACGCATTCTAATCACGGTCTGTAAAGAGCTTTCCTCCAAACTACTTATTGCATTTAGTCCGGACTATATTGGTGATCTCAAGTTTTGGACTCCCCCAGAAGTCAAAAAAATCAGGGTTTTTTTTTTGTTTGTCTGAGAAAGATTGAAGTATGTTACCTCCTCTGAGAATACCATGTGCACATAACAGATTAATGTATACAAAGCCCAGAATGCAAAATCCTTTATATTTCATACCGACAAGGTGCTAAAAAGCAGAAAATAACATCTATTTAAGCAAAGCAAAAAGACTTGGGGTTCAGGTGCATAGACCTTTAAAATGTAATTACCGGGTACAGAAAGTAATCGAGAAAGTTAATGGAATGCTGACCTTTATATCTAGAGGACTAGATTATAAGGATGCAGAAGTTATGTTGCAGTTATATAAAACCCTGGTTAGACCCCACTTGCAGTACTGTGAGTAGATCTGGGTACCACACCTTAGGAAGGATGTATAGGCCTTGGAGGGAGTACAATGTAGGATTACAAGAATAATACTGGAGTACAGGAGTTGAGTTATGAGGAGAGATTAGACATATTATGGCAGTTTTCTCCAGAATTTAGAAGGTTAGCAGTTGATCTAATTGAAATCTTGAAGCTGTTAACCGGAAAAAACAAAGATGAACTATTTCTACTAGTTAGGGACTCTAGAACTAAGGGGACTAGCCTGAGAATTGGGGCCAGGCCATTCAAGATAGATGTTAGGGAGCACTTCTACACACAAAGGGTGGTAGATGTTTGGAACACTCTTCCACAAACAGCAATTGATACTGGATCAATTGTTAATTTTAAATCAGAGAAAGATAAGTTTTTATTAAGCAAAAGGTATTAAGAGATGTCATCCGTGATCTCGTTGAATGGCTTGATGGCTAAATGGCCTGTTCCTGTTCCTATGTCCCTAACATATTCGGAATAAAGTCTAACATAGGCTCAGAACACTCTTGGTGTAGTTCAGCATTTCCACCTTGGTTGGGTTAGTTCCATTTCATATCTTCATATCCAGCTGCCAACCTTGTCTTGATGATTCTTATTGAGGATTTTATCACAAACATCATTATGTTTGTTGTTCATGGGTTTGGCTTCAAATTGCCTCTACTGGCTTGCATCATGCATCAGCTAACAAGCCCACACACCCAGAAGAGCAAATACTCTCAATGAAATTCCTGGCTCCAAGATATGTTTACATTTGGGCACCATAAACACTGAATATAATGTTTTCAACCACGCTAGATCATAATTTTAAGTGAAGGGCAGGAGGTTTAAAGGCAAATTGAGGAAAATATTTTCGTCTGGAAGGTACTGGCAATCTGGAATGTACTGCCTGGAGGTTAGTTGAGTTGGGAAACCTCTCAATCTTTAATAAGTACATGGAAGAGCACTTGAAATGTCATAACATTCAAGAGTATGGGGCTAAATGCTGGAAAGTGGGAATAATGTGGATAGGTTGGTATAGACTCAGTGGGCCAAAGGGCTTCTTCCATCTGAGTCTAAAAATGTGAGTCTCATTAGTGAGATTTAAACACTTTAAGGGAATTTTCTTTGGAAGAGTTTTCCAGCAAGAGAAGTACCTCATCTTGAATGCATTCATTTGTTCACCTCTGCAACACTCCCTAATGGGATAAAATAACTACCGGTTAAGGAAGGTAGGGATATTCAGTTGAAAAATCCAATCTTTTATTTTCAGTGCTTTTTTTGCTAATAGCAGAGAAACAGAAGATGGTATTTATACAAGTGCTCAACAATTGCCAGCAGTGGTGACAATGAAGCATTAACAGATTGTTGACACAGTTAAGATTAAAACAACCTACAGAGAAACCTTAATACATCTCAATTCCACATGTGTAAAGAGATGTAGGTCCATGTTGTTAATGGCTACCCACACTTACTTTGCTTATGTAAATACGTGACACTGTATAAATCGTCACTTGTATTTCAGCAGAGTTGTGGGTTATAGTGAAATGAATGTAATTTAGATCTCTTTGGCTGAAGATTGATGCTTGAAATAGACATTTTCAAAATCCTAGAGACTTAAATTGAATCCTTTTGATTGCCTACCTGCTGTGGTTTGACTCATGGAGCGCAAGGTGGATCAGTGAATCATAATTGCTGTGGTCCTGTGCTATACCTGATACACTGCTGAATCAGACTCAATTTGCAGCGATTTCTCAGCATGAAATAGTCTGTCATTGCCTGTTACTAATGGCTTTGCATCCAATTTCCGGGATTGGTGTTTTAGACGATCTGTCCTTGGCATTATTAAAAGGCAAAAGCTGCAAAGCAGTTGGGACTTATCAGTGGAGAGTGATGGAATGAAGGCACGTTTATATTAGATGTATCAGTTTTGAATCCCTTACTGAATTGCTCATTAGGCAGACATCAATGCCCTGTTCGCTTAGCTCAGCAACATTGGAACAATGCACATTAGTGTGTGAGCACAGATGCAGAGTAACACTTCCCAGGCAGCTGACTTCTAATATGATAAGAGTGTGGGAGGGAAACACAAGTCCCTCAGAACAGTTAAAAGATT